TAGTCAAGCAAATTTTTTTTCTTTTTTTTTTTAGAAAGAAGTGGAGTCCACTCCATTGCCTTAAGATGAAATCTATGTGAAAATGTGGGGTACTGGTGGGCAATGAAATCTCTAAAAGTTAAATAATTCTTTCGGATTATCTATAGAATGTAACTTTCATTATACGCACTCAATGAATTTCTCGAGTTTGATAGTTAAGCAAATTTTGATATATTTTTGGAAAGATCGGAATCCACAATTAACGGAGCAATAAGCAACACCCTCTCAAGATGAAATCAATGTGAAAATGTGAGATATTGGTGGACAATGAAGTCTTTAACACTTAGATAATTCTTTTTACTTTCTTATAGAATGCAACTTTTATTTGTGGAAACCTTCTACGATATCCACAAGGAAGAAAAAGTCCCACAATTTTCACAATGAGGAAAAGAAAAATCTATGCACCCAATGGACTTCTGAGTTTGGCAAATTTTATTTTACTTGTGGAAAGAAGTGGAGTCCACGATTAATGGAGCATTAAGTAGCACTCCCTGAAGATGAAATTTACATGAAATTATGAGGTATTGGTAAACAATGAAATCTCTAAAAGTTAAATATTTCTTTTGGAATAAGTATAGTAAAAAACATAAAAATTTCCACAATGAAGAAAAGAAATAAAATGAGTTGAAAAGGTAGAGTTCGCTCGATTCGTTCCTGAGCAGCCTTCAGTATTTTGTTCATAATTTTCTCTATAGATATCTGATTGGGGTAATTCAAAATGAGTGGAAAAGGTAATTCAAAGGGCTACAATTTTTATATACATAAAAAAAATTCCAATTCTTCCTAAAAATGGGTTTCAAGTTGAGACTAAAAATTCTGAGCATAACTTCTTCAACTGAAAATTGATTTGTGAAAATACTTCCATTATATTTCACTCATTTGACCTCCAATTGCATTCAATTGATCCTATATGACATTCAATCATCATTTTGTGCTCGAAATCAAGTATTGAATGTTTACACTTTGATCTCCAAACTTTTAATTTCCTTCGTTTTTCACATGTTTTTCGTTCATTTCTTCAAAATCAGCCAATTTACATTGAGTTCAACCTAACAAACATAATTAACACAAAATTAAGCTATAAATCATCCAAATCACTAACAAATACTCTAATTTAATAGCCTATACAAGTGTATAAAATACACTTATCACAATAAACACAATGGATTTCTCGAGTTTGGTAGTCTAGCAAATTTTGTTTTAGTTTTTGGGTAGAAGTGGAGTCCACAATTAATGGAGCGATAAGCACCACTCTCTTAAGATGAAATCTATGTGAAAATGCAAGGTATTAATAGATAATGAAGTCTCTAAAAGTTAAATAGTTCTTTTGGATTATTTATAGAATGCAACTTTCATTCGTGGAAAAACTTCCACAATTTCCACAATGAAGAGAAACTTCCACAATTTCCACAATAAAGAAAGAAAAATCTATGTACCCAATGAATTTTTAGAGTTTGGAAGTCAAGCAAATTTTTATTATTATTATTATTATTTTTTTTTTTAAGTAGTGGAGTCCACGATTAATGTAGCAATAAGCACCACTGCCTTAAAATGAAATCTACATTAAAATGTGAGCTACTAGTAGACAATAAAATCTCTAAAAGTTAAATAATTCTTTTGAATTATTTATAGAATGCATCTTTCGTTCCTGCAAAAATCTTCCACAATTTCCACAATGAAGATAAACTTCTACAATTTCTAGAATGAAGAAAAGAAAAATATATGCGCCTAATGGATTTCTTGAGTTCTGTAAATTTTTACATGTGTGACAATCTCTTTAGCATCAATCATGATTGATTCAAACACAAATTCTCGTGATGAGAAACATTATGCCTATGACATTCACTCATTGCTTGTTTGTTCGAGAATCAATTCTTACATTCAAGAAATAGAACTTCCATCTGGAAATCAATAAGGTAAATGAATACTGACTACCATTTATTACCTAAAATATCTTTTATATATATATATAGCCTTCTGGAAATCAATGAAGTAAATGAATAGTGACTACCATTTATTACCTAAAATATCCTATATTTAAAAAATATGTATATAGTCTCAAAAGTAGCAATCAAATTTAAAGAACAAAATGAACCTTGAATAATTTTTTAAAAAAAATCATTATTGGGTAATGGGACAGCCTTATGCTTTAGTTACACCACTATATCTTCAAAAAAATATTTAATGCAAGAAAATTCCATAATTTTTTGTACAAAAGAATGAAAACTATGTTGTAAAAGGAAAGTAATTTAGGGTTTAGTGTGAATGACATTTGTACCCCTACAGCTCTAGATATAATTACCATATATATCCATATTCATTCCCTGTAAATATAGGGTTTTGATTCTCATTATAATACACAAGTCTATTGACTTCTCTTATTTTCTTCTCTTTTTCTCTCATTTTATAACACGTTATCAGCATGAAAGCTTAATTTTTAAAAGTTCAGAGAAGGTAGTATTTTCTTTTTATATATAATAATCTATTACGTGTACCAAAATTAATTTGGTAACATGTGAATTCTTTTTATACATATATCAATTCTTTTTACGTGTAGCAATTCACTGCGCTGGCCACTGTGTTCATCTGTTAATTCACGGCGTCCAAAAAAAAAAAAAATTCTTGACATAATAGATTTTGGTTTCACAATTTATTGTATTCAAGGAGTAAAGCATGTACAATCATTACGTTTCCTTTAATTCACATTACTCATAATTCTTTAATTCTATATGCACATCACTAATGATAAGTGTACATCCTTGGTACACAATTTTGTACACATCCCTCTCACATGGGGGTGGGGCCCACGTGGGGCCTACAATCGCGGGCTCCACCCCCATGTGAGGAGGATGTGTACAAGATTGTGTACCAAGGATGTAAGAGTAGCATGACTCATATGCACATTCTGTAATTCTGTATGCTACATTAGTTACACATGTTAGCCGTGCATAATTAATTAATAATTATTGAAGAAGTAGAATTTTTGTAATGATTATGTTCAACATTTTTTTTTATTTCTTTTATACAATTCTGCGATATTTACATCTACTGTTCCGCAGTCAATTTTTCTTTTAATTATATGTGTTTCGTAAAATTAATTAATCTTGTGTGGTTCATGTATATTATATTTATCATGTTGTTGCTCTTAAAATAGCACAACGTTATAATTAATATTCTCTAAAAATATTATTTGTTCCTGAAAAGTATAAATTATAATTTTCAATATTCCAGAAGAATATTGACATATTACTCTTGAAAAAATAATATTAAAATACAACGTGCTCCCGAATTAGCACATGTTTCGAAGAACATACTATTTTAAATTAGTGTTTATCCCTGAGGCAAAAAACATACCTTATGTCATATTGATCTTACTAATTGTATTTTATTTTGCTTTATTGTGTACTTAATCAAATAGCAAATATCACAAAACTTGAGTTGCTGCACTTGACATATCTAGCAAAAACTATTTGTCATGGGTACTCAATGTTGATATCTATCTTGTCTCAAAAGGTTTGGAAGAGACAATAAAAGAAAGAAACAAAGAATACGTGCAGGATTGTGCAAAAGGACCCATCTTCCTTCGTCATCATATCCACGATGGATTGAAAATTGAATATCTCACTGATAAAGATCCACACGTTCTTTGGAAAAAGTTAACTGAAAGATTTGATCATTAGATGACTATAGTCTTCCCTAAATCCCGCTATGAGTGGATGCATTTTCATTTGCAAGATTTCAAAACTGTTAGTGAGTACAATTCTTAAAATTGACATTGTATGGAGAAAAATCATTGATGAAGATACGTTGGAAAAAACTTTTTCACATTTCACACCTCAAATGTGTTCCTACAGCAGCATTATTGTGAGCGTGATTTGAAAAGGTACTCAGAACTCTTATTTTGCTTGCTTATGGCTGAACAAAATAATGAACCGCTGATAAAAAATCATGGGTTACGTACAATTACAAAGCAGTTATTGTACAAATAATCATCAAAGGTGGAGTGTTGTAAAATAATGAGATAATTATTGATAATTATTTATTATTATCATAATATATAATAAGTTTTATCTAGTTCAAAGAGACTATTTCATTCCAATTGTAACTCTTATTTTAGTTCCTATAAATACTAGTCTTGATTCTCAATAAAATACATACTTGAATTTTAACTCTTATATTTTCTTATCTTCTTGTTCTATTATTTTTATAACATACATAATAATTTACACTTTTACTTATAG